TTTGTTGGGTATACATTTAGGTTTTTAGTGGGGTGGGTGGTATGGATTTTACTCTGTCAAGGTCAAGTCATTCTTTTTTTTTTTTCTAAAAGAAAATTTTAATTTCGAGTAATTGGCACAAGGAATGAGCACAAGACTCCCTTATGTGACGTTTTCTAAAATACAACATTTTCTTCAAATTTTTTTCAATAAAATCTTGTGAAATGACGAATATACCATCTCCTTTAAATAAAAAGAAAAAATAATTAATTAATTGTAATCCCAAATTTTTGAAAAAATGCAAAAAACTCCCAAGTAAATTATTAAAAAATTAAATGAATGTATTAGTTTTTATAAATTAAATAAATATTTTTATTTCTTTTATTTATAATATTATCGACGTGTGCGTGTGTGTGCGCGCGCGCGTGTGTGTGTATATATATATATATGGATGACGACAATATAAACAATTATATTATCGAAGATTACCAATAATTATTTGATCTATAATGATCGACAACGAAGTCATTGATGTTATTTTCATAAAAATTTATATATTGGTGTTCTCAACGCACCGTCTTTCAAAAAATTGTAGAAAAACTAAACTGATAAATTATATTTTATTTAGTCACGTTATAATTCCAAATAATATCTTTTTCAAACATGTTCATCTATCCTTGTTTGGCTTTTAGTTTACATGATCCGATGAAAAATAGATTTTGTTGTTACTCTCTTCGAAAACATCATATACAATTAATAGCATTCGAATGTAAAATCATAAAATTACATTGAGGGTAAATGTATGTAAGTTATTATATTCATTACAAAAAAAATGTCCTATTAAAATATTGCTATGATAAATCATGTAAAAAACGTAATGAATGAAAGAAAAAATTACATTATTTATTTGAATGCGTTATGAAGTTGACTCGTTAAAAACTTTGTCAAAAAAATCATGTTGACGGCCACTTGCACCCATCCACCCGGTGCGGCGCAAAGGTCAAGCGCGGAATTAGCCGAACGGAGAAAACCGGACTTTGAATCAAGTTGAACCACCTCCCATGCGGTTCGAGATGTGTAGTCATGCTCTTTTGCCAAGTGATAGTACTTATCCAAATGTTGTTTTCCCTTTTCCTTCCCCATTGGTGTGAAATTGGAGAGGAAAACGAGTACATACCTAGGGTTAAGAAATTGGAGAGGAAAAGGAGGATTATATAATTAGGGTTTAACACGGTTTGGTCGGGTATACATTTAGGTTTTAGTTGGGTGGGTGGTGTGGGTTTTAGTCGTTCAAGGTCAAACCATTCTTTTTTTTTTTCCTGAAAGAAAATTTTATTTCGAGTAATTGGCACAAGGAATGCAATATTCATCTATCATTTCATTTTAGCACAAAACTCCCTTATGTGACGTTTTACTGAAATACACCATTCTCTTTGATTGATTTTCAATAAAATCTTGTGAAATGATGAATATATCATCNTATGTGACGTTTTCCTGAAATACAACATTCTCTTTGATTGTTTTTCAATAAAATCTTGTGAAATGATGAATATATCATCTCCTTAAATAAAAAGAAAGAAAAGAAAAAATAATTAATTAATCGTAATCCCAATTTTTTTTAAAAAAATGCAAAAAACTCCCAAGTAAATTATTAAAAAACTAAATGAGTATATTAGTTTTTATAAATTAAGTAAATATTTTTTTTCACTAATTTATTTCTTTTATTTATAATATTATCGACGTGTGTGTATATATATATGGACGACAACAATATAATCAATTATATTATCGACGATTACCAATAATTATTCGATCTCTAATGATCGACAACAAAGTCATTGATGTAATTTTCATAAAAATAGTAACATGGCAATTAAAACATTATTAACCAAAAAATCAAGAACAAAATTAAAAAAATCCAAAAAATTAAAAAAATAAATAAATGGTAACTACATAAATTTGAATACAACAAAATTAAAAAAAAAATATGCCCCCCACCCCACCCCACCAAAGGCTTCTTCTCCACCTTCTACCACCAAACCCCCACCAGTTGCCGCACCCCCTCCGCCTCCACAAGTTCTGTCTCCACCGCCACCAAGTCTAAAATCAAAACTTCCACAACCACCAAAGGCTTCTTCTCCACCCCCACCAAGTCCAAAACCAATTCCAACACCAAAACCTTCTAAGTCGGTGAAACAAACTCCAACACCATCAAAGAATTCCTCGCCATCACCCTCACAATTCGGCCGGGAACGGCCATAACTATGCGCTCGGTGGACCGTTTGGGAAGATCTTTTTTTTTATTCCGCGTATTTTTTCGAGAAGAATCCAGTGGCAAACTTCCGTAGGCGGTTTGGGGCCTGATTTTCGCCCAAAACGTCCATTTTCCAGCTTAATTTGATCTTCTGCTGTTGCTTTCCCTTCTGCTGACCAAGAGGTCTTCTTAACTTTTTAGATTTTTTTAATTTTGTTCTTGATTTTTTGGTTAATATATTTAATGTTTTAATTGCCATGTTATTATTTAACCCTTGCTAATTTGGTCAAAATGAGTC